CTCTGGTGGTCGCTCGCTGCTGCAAAGTATGAACGCAGCCTTTATGACAGGAAAACCTGCATTGTACCAGGCTCTTATAACAATAAGATACGTGATCAACTAGCTACATGACGTCAGTGACACGTCATCCATTACGGTCCTAGACGCCGTACTTATGCTACATCTGTGCACAATCAGATTTCCAATTGTATGGTAATTTGTTCTGTTCCAGGCAGCTATCTGCCAAGCAATCGTATGTGGAGAATACGAAATCTGTTTCTGTCAGCAAGGATATGTACTTGTGTCCGCAGAAGATCGAGACCTTGGTTGCACGCTGCCCGGTGACTGCCGCTAATGACGACTACCTACTTATTGTCGCTACATAAATGCACATGAATCTTAATTAAGCACTGGTCACTCTAATCCTTCAAAATAAACTGTTTAAAGGCATAAGGCAGGATAATTTGTTATTCGGTCTGAAATGGTTGCAGGGGTGCTACATAATGGGGAAAATGGCGAAAAAGCGAAGTGAAAAAGTCGAAGACTGCAAAAAAGCCTTTGTTCTGCACGACTCAGAAGGCAGTTTTGGACGAGTTTCCCGGTGGCATCGTACCCGTCACCGCACGGTAGATAGTGCTGCATGTATGTATTTATAAATCCATGCCACTCTCGTATAAGGACATATTAGTATCAAGAGTCGACATGCGAGCTCAAAAGAGAACCACTAATACCAAGGACGGCGTGAGTTTACATGGCAGTGCAAAAACGAATCAGGTCCAAATAGGGGTGCTTCATTCTCAATGAATTTGCTTAAATGTTCTGTAGTGACGCTAGAATGGCGCCAGCGGCGCAGTTCGGCAACGGAATGGGGCGAGGAGGCATTTGCAACTTTTTCTACTTCCCATCAAACGTGTCTGTCTATCTATCTAGACAGCCTCTTCTCGAGTTGACAGGCTTTGCCACGACTGCATGACGATCTTACTCCAGCTACACAAGAGTTTACAGGTTTCACCAGAGACCTGCAAACCGGAACTAGCGAAACAAAGAACGAAATGCCCCTCCCCGTCGCCGAACTACGACTGGCGCCACGTGTTCTATTTCCTTTACCTCTGCACCATATCAGAGGGGGAAGCTTAGTCAAAGGGCACAATGACTCCCATTTAGTTATTGCGAAAGGTGCCTTCAAAACAGCATCAGGTCATTATGTTTTCAGAACTACCTGGAATAAAATTTTTGGTACCCTTTCTTCGCACCTTATTAACAAGTATGAAAAAATTTTTTTATTAGACTTCAGTAGTAACATAACAAGAACGAGACTATGAACCAGTAACAAACACCGTACGCAGTAAGAACAACGTGAAACAATTCACCTCAACAAAAGGTGGAGAAGAAACAACCGGGTTAAAACTGTTTGACTCATTTCCCTATCAATTTTTCACTTTTTTGACCTTCTTCTTGATTCTGTCAGGCAACTGCTGTACCATAATCAGGCCATGGTAATACAGGAGATGGCAAAGCGCCTGTACTTCAGCGCCGTTCATTTCGCCTGCCATTCAGGATAGCTGTCACAAAGAGCATTGAATCCACTGACGAACTGAAACGAAATTTCCATCTTAACAAAGAGATTCAACCGATTCACAAGATCTCCCACCTACCTCAATTGGCAGCTCAAACGTCTGCTCAGGGAGGCCCTCATAGAGACGAGAGTTCGCCATACGATGAGCTATATAGCAGCTATCTTCACTTTCGAATAACAGTCTGTAAGGCGAAGGTCAGTCAGTTAAAAATCAGTCAGGATCAGTCAAAAACCTGGAGGTCTACCTTGGGAATTCAACATACCTTTGCGCATGCCTTCGGATCAGCTTCACTTTGGTGCTCGGGCGGAACTCCATTACATTTCCATTGAGAATATCAGTTTTGCATCCAATAACACTATGTGATTTTTCTTCTATAAACAGGGACCATTAATGTGAAACCTCACGTATATCTCCACTTAAGGCGACAGTTTAGGACATTTTCGAGGCTTTCTACAATGATGAAACGATTAGCACCCGTCAATTCATATGAGGACCCTACTATCAGATTGGCGAGCCTAAGCCTTTAACAAAGTAGCTCACTAAAAGAAAGGCTGGAACTGACCCGGAGTAAGCAGTGGAGGCAACGCTGTCCTCATAAACGAACGAGCCATCAAATCTATGCCACCATCGCAAACTTCTCTCAGTGAATTCCGAAGAACAGTCATGTGGCGGTCAACCACACTCTTCCATCTGAAAATTCTCGTACATACTATGACAGATGCGGTTTTTCTACAGGAAATATCTACTGAATAGGCACACTCCACGCTAAACATGAGCGGAGGCCAGTTAAGCATGAGCGGATGCAGTCAACCATGCTGTCTTTATTTTTTTCCACGCTCCTTCTCTTGGATTCATAAATACCACGAGAAACTATTCATAGGTATCGGTCGGCGCAGAAAAAAAAAACTGTTGTGGTTTCAAGAGCGAGGCAGAGGAGAGCGAGAGAGAGAGAGAGAGAGACGAGAAAAGAGAGGCGATAGAGAGGAGAGAAATAGGCGTAACAGGGAGGGATAGGCAATGCGGCAAGCAACGTTGTGTGAACTACATTAGGTCGTGGTTCGCTACTTTGTTTCCGTGGGGAGGGAAAGAGGGGGGCGAGTTATATGTGCCTTGAGGGAATTTGTGTTGGTTTTCCGGTTGCTGACTTTTTGGCGTGTTTCCGGTCTCATGTGTGCTTACATACCTTCTCCCCCCCCCCTCCAAAAAATAAAATTTTTCTGGCGAAATCAGAAAAAGGTACGGAAGTGGCGTTGGCGGAAATTCTCCCGTTTCACACTGACATCATCCCCTCCCGCCTCGACGGAAAAATTTTTGGCCGCTGAAAAACTGGACTGGACAATGTGGCCGGAATCGTAGGTAGTGTTGCGGGCAAGTGCGGGGCGGGGGTCCGTAAATTAGTTGATATTGATATGATAGTATAATATTGTAGTGCCCTCGCAGTGGAGCGCGTCGACGCGCGTCATCGCGAAATCTGAACGCAGCCGTAGACAACCTTGGTACTTACTCGTCCTCAAAGTGTTCCTCCATACGATAATCGATCTCCGCCACACCATTCATATCAAGCATTCCAACAGGTAAAGATTTTCGCATTTTCCAGCGATTCTTCGCCAACGTCGACACAGCTTCAGGCACCTGAATCTTACTATTTGTGCGGATAACACTTTCAACCCAAAAACTAGTAGCGCTCGGGCAAGCCGGCAAGGAAAGCATTGGCATTTTGACGGACTCCGCTTTGGTAGATTTGACGGACTCCTTTGGTAAGTTACAGTAAAGGCTTTATCACAAAACTTCAACAGTACACTCGCCCTTTTTTCAGGTCTGAACACTAACCACACGTTTCACTAAATACACTCCAGCAAAGTGACTCTCATATGCCTATCCCCCCTATCCGATTTGCGCAGCACAAATACTAACTATCTTCTCCAGAAGATCAGCAAATGTCCATAGTCTTCCACTCGAAATAGTGATGTGAAGCGAATGTACATTCTCATCAGTTATAGCCTGTAAAGAAAAAAAATCCGAGCCTAATCAAGACTTTCCTTAATGAAACAGATATCCTTGCCAAATGCTTACGTTATGAATAAATCCACGAGGAATATAGAGAAGGTCACCAGCTTCGATCCAACCTTCAAAAGTCGGCTTACGGTCCTTCATATCCTCATCAGTGAAATTACCTGAAAAAAAAAACTTCAGACAAGCAAGGCAAGACTGTTCGCACCCTCAAGCTCACCGCTAGATTCCCTCGGCAGCTCGTTTTCCTTGGAATCTCCTTGGAGTCTGGAGCATACACTTTCCAGTACTTCCTACCCTCCAACTGGAGCAAAAACGCATCGATCTTCATCCCAGTGAGGTGCAAAACCGGCTGATCCGGGTGGGGTCAAGTATCTGAGAATAAAGCAGCCATCACTATTCCAGCTGGATCCTTGGATCGATCGATAAGCACTCACGTGTTCGCTCCAACAAAGCAGCCAAACAACTCCTGCAAGACTTCACACAGGTACCAGACACGATCGTCAAAAGTCTGCGGGTTTACGAATTGCACCGAGCGGCCCAACTGTAAACATGTTGTGAACAACTTCACAAAAAACAGTAATTAACCAGTTCCCTGTTCACTGTTCCATTAATGAGGGGCAAAAGTGTATAACCATTCCGGCAGTTCCCTTGCAGACTTAGGCAAGAATCCTCATCCTCCAGGCTTACAATTTCTTTTCGTATTGTCCCCAACTTTCACGAGGAAGGTGCAAGACAATCGTCATATGCCGCGCTGGACTTGGCAAGTGACGCCGCGCGCAAAAGAGACGAGTTGTCCTCTCCGGCCGTTTTAATTTGGACGTTAACTAGACGGAATGATCAATATCACGCAGCAGGGGTCTTTTCTCGTTCCATTTCACACCAGTGTTCTTACTCAATCAGCAGACCGATGTACACATTGAGAACGTGCCGCGCCCCGCCGCTCAACACGCCACGCACGACAACGCGACTAACCACGATTGTCTTGTCCAGCTCATGTCGCCCCTTCAATAAAAGAGAATTTCTACAGCGCTTGAGTGCCCGTCAAAAGGAGTTCTACCTGAAAATGAATAGCGCCTAAACGAAACTTACCGAAAGATGTTCCTTAAGATGCTCAGGATAGACACGTCCCTTTCCATTTAATGTCAGACGAACACCATCCTTATATTCAGCTATGTTGATATTTGTACCATACTCCAGATGATT